AAACGAGAAGAATATCTGATGGGGTTACTGTGAAAAGGAAAATAAGATATTTGACTGTAGATATACTTGACTACAAAGGCCAACTATTTAGCATAGTGCCTGATATCTACAAAGCATTTAAATGTTTGTTATTATTATTCACAGCATCAGCAGAGGACAATGTCCTTCTCAATGAAGATTCATCAGCCCTGGTTATTATTGTTTAAAAATAAAAAGTGCCAATTTGACACATAAAAGATGCCATCTTGTTTTTTTTTGTTTGTTTTTTGTTTTTTGTTTTTTTTGTGGTACGTGGGCCTCTCACTGTTGCGGCCTCTCCCGTTGCTGAGCACAGGCTCCAGACGCGCAGGCCCAGCGGCCATGGCTCACGGGCCCAGCCGCTCCGCGGCATGTGGGACCTTCCCAGACCGGGGCATGAACCCGTGTCCCCTGCATCGGCAGGCGGACCCTCTGCCACTGCGCCACCAGGGAAGCCCAAAGATGCCATCTTGTTTTAATGCATTTCTTTGATTTCTAGTTCTATTGAACATCTACCATTCATTTATGAATTTTTAAATTTCTTTTTCTGTGTACTCTGTTTATATCCTCTGTCTATCTTGTTTTACATAATTTTAGTTCTTTAAAATGATATGCAAGAGTTCTTTATTAGGAATACAAATCTTTTGCTGTCATAATTGCTGCAAATATATCCCTCAATATTTTGGGTTTTTTCAATGTCAGTTGTCAGACATTATTTTGACATAGAGTTTAACATTTTATGTAACCAAGTATTTTCCTTTGTGATTACTTCAATAAACTTTTAAAATCTTTATGAATACTTCACTACTTCAAAGTTCAATTATATGCTCATTCACATGTTATTTCAGTATAATTGGGGCATATACCTTACATAGAGAAAAGGGCATTGATCATAAGTTCACAGCCTAAAGAATTTCCACCCAACAGATATATCCATTGTATTGTTTTCTAGGGCTGCCATAACAAAGTACCACAAACTGGGTGGCTTCAACAGCATAAATCTATTGTCTTGACAGCGCTGGAGACATCTTAGAAGTCTGATGTCAACGTGTCAGCAGGGTTGGTTCCTCCTGGAGGCTATGAGGGAGAATCTTTTCCATACCTCTCCCTTGGCTTCTGGTGGTTTGCTGGTCATCTCTGGTGTTCCTCAGCTTATAGATGTACTGTCCTGATCTCTGTCTTCACGTTCATGTGGCATCCTCCCTGTGTGTATATCTCTACATCAAAATTCTCCCTTTTTAGATGAGCACTAGTCATATTGGATTAAAGCCCACACGAATGACCTCATGTTAAATTGATGACCTCTGTAATGACCCTATTTCCAAATAAGGTCACATTCTGAGGCACTGGGGATTAGGGCTTCAGCATATCTGTTTTCAGGAAAACAAGTCAATCCACAATATTCATGAAACTAGAACACAGATCAAGAAACAGAATCTACCTAGCTTTCTAAAACCTACCCCATGTCCCCTTCGGTCATGACCCCATGCCAAGGTTACCACTCTCCCGATCTCCTGCCCCGTGGATAACCTATTCTATGTTCCTGAACTTCATATAAATGGAATCACACAACATGTATTCTTTTGCATGTGGCTTCTCTACCTCAAAACTGTATCTGTGAGATCCATCCATGTTATCGCCTTGTTGCACGTAGCAGTAGTTTATTCTATTTTTTTATGTAATATTTAACAGAGGAAGGAAGAAAACAATGTAATTTAGCCATCTTATTTTTGATAGATACTTAGGTTGTTTCCAGTTTTTATCTATTGTGACTACAGTTGCTATGAAACTATATTATGAATACATTGCGAAGAAAATCCTAGTACCAGTTTTTTGCTAAGCACACGCTCACACCTCTGTTGGGTATATGGAGTGGGCTTTCTGGGTCATAGGGTACCCATGTGTTTGGCTTTACTAGATGCTTCCAAGCAGCTTTCCAAAGTGGTTTCCAGAGGTGCATGAGAATTTTGGTTGTTCCATATGCTCACCAGAACTTTGGGTTGCCTTGGACAAAAATTTTTTTGATGAGAAGATGATGATAATGATGATGACACTAGCTTCTCATTAAAGTTATTATGAAAACCAGTCATCGGGCTGGTTACTTTACTTATATTATCTCACTTCATCTTTAAACTACTTTACAAGGGAGTCATTAGCTTCCTTTTTACAGACAAACAAAACTAAGCGTCAGTAAGATTACATAATTTACCCAAAGTAACAGTAAGTAGCAATGTAGGCTTTCAATCCAAATTTGTCTAATTACCAATCTCTGAGAATTGCTGGTCCAGATAAAATGGAAAGCTGGTTGCTCTGGAGGTGAACGGGAAGCCTTGGGCATCGCAGTGCCCAAGAGAGGATTGGTGTGGCTACCGCAGAGGGGTAGTGGCCAGAGGCGAACACAGCTCTAAATCTCTACACGAAGGCTAGTTTGTGCCACCCGGTTTTGGGGGACATTAACCATGAGCGTTTGTTACCAGGGTTAGCTTCAGACATTTCCCGATGGATGATTATTTTGAGGACAGATTCCGAGAACAGATGGGTATGCTTAATATTCCAAAGCAGACTGACGTAAACCAGTTTGGGGCTAGAGAGTAGGACAAAAGGTCAGGTCTGGGATTAAGGAAAAGCGTCCACAGTAGCAGGTCTGTGGCTCTGTTCTCACCACTGATGTCAACATGCACTCCTTAGCCCTTCAGCCCTCACTCCCAGACCCAGTGTCCAGGTAATACCGGGAACATCCACCCTTAAGAACATAGCAAGAGTCAAGTCTGCTCTTATCGTGTCCTCTGCTTTTGTGACCCTGGATGGTAGGGTGAATATTCATGGGGAAAAATATTTCGTGGAACAGGAAGGAAAAACATTCTGAACATAATCACTCTTCCACAAGACACTCAATAGACTCAAGTATTGAAAGGCTGCTTTGAATCAGGCACTGTGCTGGCTCTTCCAGATACATCATCTTAGCCTTCACAATAACTTTGAGAGGGAAATAATTTGCTATTATCCCCATGTTGCAGGCGTGGGAACTGAGCCTAAGTGAGGTTTTAAGAAACCTGTCTGAGGTTACCCAGAGGTAGAAACAAACAGCATAATAGTTCCACTCTAACAAAGGATGTGGAAAGAGGAAGTTCGGACCTTCTGAATTATGAACTGGTGGAGTATGGTCACTTTTATTTATTTCTTTTAAGGAAGGCAATAAAAGAATACTGAATGTTTTCCTGCTGAACTGCTGAAAGCTTGTTCTGGAAAATGAAAACTTTACAAAGAGAATTCTGGTATTGTAGGTCAGCAACTCTTATCTACGAACCATATTATGAATGGGTCCGGGGACTCATATCCTATAAAAGCATCATACAGATGAGGTTCTAATCAGTTCAAATGTTGTCCTCTTCTAATTTTGTGCCAGTGCAATTATTCTAGAAAGTACAAAGTTTCCATTTTAAATGGTGCTTGGCTTATTTGTTTCCGAACACATTGGTTTGGTTTTAAACTCAAGTGAAAACCAACACCTGGGCTTTGTCCTGGTTTCAGGAAAACTGTGCATTTTTTTCCCCTATACTTTAATCAGTAGTTGGTTTAATTGCCTGACCAGGTCACAGATGTAGGTGTCCCAGGTGTGTGTACGCTTTGCCTACGTTACAACCCAAGTACTGTAGCCGGAGTGGAGCGAGAGCCATTCAGGAAGAAGCAATGGGCTCACACTCAGTGTAATTCACACCCAAGACTGATGCTCACACAGGCTCACCGTGTCTGGGCTGGCTTCCCAGCGGAGAAACAACCAAAGAGAATGAGAAACACGACACATGCAATTCTCCTGCTTTAGTCCCAAAGACTGACTAAGCCATCAGAGCTTGTTCCCCACAAACCCTAAGACTCCTCGTGTACTGCTCAGGAGCCTTTCTTCCAGAACCAGTGGATGGGCTTAGCACCTCTACCAGCCCAGTTCTGGAGAGAGAGGGAGTGCAGTCTGAGGACTGGAATGCCCTCTGCCTTCTCTAGCACAGAAATGTGCTGCTGGCATTTGCAGAGACAAGCAAATGATGTTGTATGTGTGCTCTTAACCTCTATTTTAACGTCTCCAACAATCTAGTGGTTAATTAGCAATTTGCTGCCCACCAATATGCAAATGAATGACAAGCAAAAGCCCTCCGCATCTGTAATTATTTTGCTGATTTACAAGTCACTCTCCTCTCTGTGTAGGTTTTTCTGTGTGTGTGCATTCATGCATCAGGGATTTCATTATTTTTAGAAGCATACTCCGTACACGTTTATGCTTTAATATTTTCAGGCTTCAGTAATTACAGTATTATAGATATACGTACATTTTTTCCCCCTCAACTCCCAAAGCATTTATTTGTCAGGAATGCTTTTTCTCTGATAAAGAGCGGAGAGTCAGATTTATCAAGGGGCTGAAATCCAAACTGCAGAGAGAGTCGGAGCACAAGATTGAAAGATGCACGTTTCTGCTGTTGCCAAACCCTTATCTGGAATCGGAGGAGTCTTGTAATATTTGATTTTCTCCCAAGCAGCTCTGGTGAATCAAGCCGCGATCTGCGTTATCCATCTGCTTACTTTAGAGCAGGGTGTTTTACTATTTGGCGGTTTAAATGCTTTACGTTTTTGCCAGCGCGTTAAGAAAGCCTCTCATGTTAAATTAAGTCAATTAATAAATGGAGACACATTAAGCAATCAGTTTTGTCAGCCCATCTCCCCAGCATTATGTATGGTTGGCTGTAATCACAAGATAAATGCAATGTGCTGATCTATGGTAATGTTCAATAATACATTCTCCGCCAGGCTCAATTCATCAGGGAGTTTCGGTAGGGGAGGCATTTGTTATTGGCTGTCTCTGCACCTCAAGGATAACATTTCTGTCCTTTTGATTGGCCGCCTCACTGCTGCAAGATTCTAACCGTCTTATTTTGATGATGAATACGAAAGCACAGTAAGCCGGGCTGGAGCGTAGTGTCTCAGGGGCTGCGCTCCTTCCAGAGCCCAAGGACTTACAGCTTCCTCCGCTGCCTTGCTGTGCCAACAACCCCCCCAAAAAAGTTGTGATGCTTTTCTTCACCCAGTGCTTTGGGGCTGTGTTAGATCTCATTCACCTCCGCTTTCAGCACTACAAGGCTAAACGGGTGTTCTCCGCCGCTGGGCAACTTGTCTGCGTTGTAAACCCCACACACAACCTAAAGGTGAGTGGCTCTCTCTCGCTTGATGTTCCCGCGGCTTGGGTTCAAGCCCATCCTCCGGGGGCGTCTGTGACCCTCCCGCGAGCGCGGGGAACTCGCGGCAAAGGCTGGTCCACTGGCGCCAGGACGGTGTTGGGTACCCGGGGCCGGTGCCTCGGGGCTCATTCTCCCTCTCTTGGCGGTTGGATGCTCTCGGCGACAGTGTGTTGTTTCCCCGACTGGCAAGAGCAACTGGAGTGAGAGTCTTCTTTTTTTTTTTTCCACGCTGTCAGCCTAGGAGTGGGGCGGAGGTCAGAAGTGAGGTCGGTGGACGGAGCAGGGGGCTTGCCCCTCTCTCTCCCAAATATTTGTGGGCAAGTGTTTAGGAGACAGGATTTGAAAAGTTACTCAAATCGCAGTCTGTCCCACGTGCTGGAAAGGCAGGCGAGCACACGGATTTAGGAAGCCCCTCTGGCTGCCGCTGAAGTAACTGGGGTCGGGGTGGAGGGACAGGAACCCCGAGGCAGGGATCTGGGAGTTGGGGAGAGGGCTCCTTCTTCAGAGTGTTGTCCCCTTGTGCTCAGACTCGGCGTGAGTGGGGATAGGGGGGCGGGGATGTCGGGAGGAGTTTGTCTTCTTTCCTTCCTTCGAGCTAGATGCGCCCGGTGCGCGGAGGACAGGAGGGGCAGATTTGCTTCAAGAGTATCGAAACGAAACCAGCCCCGAGCTGCCACTGCCCGAATCACCGCAAGCGCTGCGGGCGCCTCTTTGCTGTGGCCGCCCGCCGGGCTGCGCTTCCGTCGCCGCTGCCGCTGCGTTTGTGCCTTTAGGTCAATGCCCTTTAAGAGAACAGCCAAAATACGGGCTGGAGGGACCGCTTCACATCACCGCCAAGGCTGAGGGAAATGAATGCAGAGCCCCTGGCTAGGGGAGGCAGGGGAGACGGGAAGGTAGGGCGGGAGGGGCGGTGCGAGGGCGCAGCTGAACTCCCCCCAGTGTGAAAGTCTGAGCCCAATGGGCTCTGTCCCCAAATAAACGATGGACTCGTTTGCGAGTTGCTTTCCTGTCCTCATTATACCCAAGGCAGAGTGACGGGGGAAGGGCACATCTGCAGCTGAGCCACGGAATAGTCTGCCAGAACAGCTCTGTCATTCTGACCACTGCTGTTGGGCAGGAGATGTTGCTTGTTGCTCATCACTTTATAAACTCCTGCAGTCAGACTCTCTTCGGCTGAAGCCCTGCAGGCCAGTGCTGAAGGATGCCTCCCTGCAACACCCCCCCACCCCCGCTTCCGCACAATTCCTGGAAGTCCTCAGGAGGGACAGCTGCCTGGAGCCCCTGGGGCCATATGTCAAGGCCACTCCTGGATGGAGGGGTGATGCACTACTCTGGGACAGCTATGGTGCTCCTGACCTAGGAACCGGCTTTCCGCGGTACCCAAGCTGTGACTAATACCATCTCCCTCAACCGCTCAGCCTCCCAATCCCAATCCCTCCTTCTCTCACTCTCTCTCTCCCTTTCTCCCTCCTCCCCTCCCCTCCTCTCTCTTCCCCCCATTCTCCTATTTTCTTTTTCCCTTCATGGCTTACTTTTATAAATGAGAATTCACCACCAGTCATCCTTGGCAAAGCGAGTGTATGATGTACCTATTAAAATATGACGCTGAATTCCATTTTATGGCCACTTTTGAGACTGCATTCAAACTCCCATTATTTTGTCGCTTTACATTAGTTAGTTCCCTGCGGCAAGAAATTTTGTTTATTCCTGTTTCGCATTTTAAAACCCTTACAAATTTTTTATGAGACTTAGCATTTCCAAAGTTTGAGTTTGGATGGTTCGTTGGCTGCAGCAGGTGATGGAGGGGAAGAAGGGTGCTAAGATCTTGGTGTGGGGTGGAGGGAAAAGCATCTGTGTGTATGTTTCAGTGATGTCAGGCTGGATATTGACAGGTAGTCCTGCTGCCCGGACTCAGGAGTCCAGAGTCAGCGTCGGAGTCCTTGGGTCAGTGCTGACTAGCTGTGTGACCTTGAAGGACTCGATGTCTCTGAGCCTTCCCTCCCTCACCTTCAAAATGAACCTATGACTCTTTAGCCTGCCTCCTCCACGACTCTGTGAGGCTGAAAAAGAGATGATACTCAAGGTAGCTGTGCTTTATAACGGTCTCCTCCGAAAAAAGATTACGGTATCGTACATAATTTGTAGGGTTCCATTAGGAACTTCAAAAGTTATCACTTAAAGCCTTCAGCTGACTTAGTAACATAAAAATAGGTGACACGTGCTTTGAGAGGCTATTTCCCATGGCTCACTTTTTCACGTACATTTTCATTTGGCTTTTCATTTCCTATAAAAAGCCACTTAGAGAGTTTGCTCAGATGAGTGTCGCTGCAGATAAACAAATCCAATCGACGGCCGCTAATGTTACCAGGGGTTGCAGCAGGACACACAGGATTTACAGAGGCTGTACCAGGCGGAGACAGACCTCCGCATCCCAGGTTGCCCCTGGGGAGGTCTCATCCAGGCTCCAGGTGGCCCATCAGGTAAGTTTTACCTGCTTCTCAAACCTGAGGGCTAACAACCCTTTGCAGCTTATAAAGGAACAGTTCTCTAGGAGCATTGCTGCCCCATCACTGATATTTAAAAATGCATAAAACCTCAAAAGAAGTTGCTCCTTCTCAGCATTCCTTTCCATAGGCAGACCACAGAAGTATGCCTTAGATATAATAAGCTGTGATCCACATAGGAAGAAAAATTCTTCTTTTAAAGAAAAAAAAAAAAAAAGCTGTGGCAACGTTAACCCAAAATAGCTATTGATCTGCGGTGCCTCCCCGCATTTTGTATGACAGGCTGGTACATAAAATGGTGATGAAGGACAGAGAGACTGCAACCTTGCTTTCAATTTTCTAGGTTGCATATTGCTACAGAGAGGGCTGGGAAGCCTGTGTTTTTCTTTGTGGAAGCATTTTTTGCACTTTGTCCTTTCCCGCGAATGCTAGCAGTACTTTACGACCCGAGGCAAGTGCTGAGTTATAATCAAAATTCACTTACTGAGCAGAGAAAATTGTGTATTTACCATGCTTCTACGGGTCACCTTCATTCTCAATTTTATTATGGCGATTACTCGGTAACCTGGATTCCTTCAAGCAACCTGATGCCTTTCCTTCTAAGTGGAAGGCAGAAGCCTTCCCGGGGAATGCAGACAACCCAGTTAAAGCCATTACACTCCTTAAGCCCACCCTGCTTTAAAGGGGTGTTTAGAGTCGCTGGCCTGGAATAGGAGGGTCTTCTGCTTCAAGAAGAATCCGTAGCAGAGCTGGCTCTGTGGACTGCAAATGGCACTCCGTGTTGCCCTGTGTCTGTCTGTCTGGCTCTGCCTACAGGGATGGCTCCTTAAAGGGACCCGGGCCCCCACTTCTCCTTCCCACCCCATGAAAAGGGACCACCAAGGAGCCGGTGACCTTGGCTGGCTGCCACCTGCTTCCCCATTCATGGAGGTCACGGAAATGTGGCCCACGGGCTGCAGGCTGGCACCGGGGAGGGCGCGGGCTCCTGGTCCTGATTCAGCACTGCTTTCTCCCTCGTGTCCTTTGCTTGTTTCCAAACCAAGAAAGCCTTTCTCTCCTGGCCCCTCTCCCATCGACACTCGCTGCTTGTACAATGCCCTGCCCCGGGCAGCCCTCCCTGCTTCTGTCCCATCCCCAGAGGTGCCCTTTGAGGGGTGACCTGGCCAGTCTCTGCACCCAGGCCTCTCCAGGGAAGGGTCTGTAGTGGCAGCCAGACCCCTCTGGGGTCAGTGCTCAGCGCTTCCCAAGCGGACAGGCGCTGAGCTGAGGCTGGCTGGGCGACTTCCTCCCTGTAGCCACAGAGCTTGATAAACGAGGTTCTGAAAGAAGTCTAGCAAAACACTTTCTGGCAGACTTCCAAAAGGCCCTCACCAGGGCCAATGTCATTGCTGAGACCCCCAGTGCCCTCCCCGGCACCCAGACCCGAGGCGGAACCTCCCCACCTCTCCTGGGAGGCTATTCATACCTCCATCCAGCCGGTCCAGTCCCTGGAGCTCTTTTTGATTATTACCCGTTAACCTTGAGTTGACAGACAGACAGACACACACACACACACACTCACAGTCACGCACACACACACAGTGGGAAGGGCATATGGGACAATGACGGCTTTAATTTGTGCCTGACAGATACTAAATCTAAAAATTAGGGCATTTTAGTACCATCACTTGAAGCATCCATGTGCCTTTCATTCTAAGACCAACCCGTATGGATGAATGTGTTCTGAGTGATGGTGGAGCTGGTGGGCTGGGGATCATCAAAGGAGGGAGCTGAGGAGAGGCGGGGGGCAAGGGCAACCCTCACCTCTACCGTTCATGGGCTGATCTTTGGAGATCTCATGCCTGCCCTGGGGCTTTCACTAACTCTGCTTGACACAGCGTGGCAGGCAGCTGAAGGAACGCTAAAGACATGAACATCGTTTTTAGAGGTTTAGAGGTGGTCCTGGAGTATTCAGCCTGAATACCTAGTTTAAGGCAGTTAAAGGCTTCCGATAAGATTGTTTCATAGGCAGGGTGTGGGTTGCTCAGCTCCTCCTGACACAGCCATTGTCTGAGGGTCGCATCCCCAGTCTTCTGGACATTTCACCATCTTCCTTTGCTGCTGAGGCTGGAGGCTCTTCGCAGCTCCAACAGCACCTTAGACGGGGACGGGGGAAGGATGAGGGAGGAGCTGAGCTGGCTGTCCTCACTCTGTGAGCTTTATTCTAAAGGCTTTCCCTTGCTGCCTCCTCCAGCCCTTTGGTTTCTGTGAATAGTATAAGACACTCGACACTGTAGGCACAGAGCAGTCATGCGGCTTTTCTGGTTAATGGTGATTGCACATGAGGCTCCTGGGTCACGTAACTGGAGGCGCGAGCCCCGAGCAGCCGTCCGGTTAGCAGCGTGCTGGTGACGGGGAAGCAGGGGAGGCTGGAGCTGGCGCAGAGGTGATGTGAGCCCCTTGCCTCCGTACTGCATTTCTCCG